AACTACAACTTAAATTCAAATCCAACGGCTAAGTGACGTCAGCATGATGTCAGCTACCCATTGGTAGCTGACATCATGCTGACGTCAGCTAGCCGTTGGATTTGAAATTTTCTTTTGCTATAAATAGGGTGGATATTGGGCTATAATTCACACAACTTTGAATTCAATCTATTTCAATTCAATCTCTTTCAATTCAATCTTTTTCAATTCAACTTTGCAATGAATTCCAACTTTGGATCCTCTTCGGATTCCAACTGGGGGTCCTCATCCAATTCCAAATTGGAAGAAAAATGGGCACAAATAAGACGAGAAGATGAGGAGTCTAATGAAGAAGTTCAAGTAAGGCGTAACAAACAAAATATAGCAGTAGCTATGGCTGCGACCATGGTGTGTCAGCCAACTGAGGAACAACCTCAATGGGGTGGCTCTAGAGCAGGCCACCCTAGTTTCTCACCTCATCACAAGGTTATTGTTGCACTTCGAATGATGGCTTATGGCTCTCCAGCTGATTCGATGGATGAAACCCATGGTATGTCTGAGTCTACATGCCTTAATACTCTTCAACAATTCTGTGACACAATTGTTTAGGTTTACAAAGACGAGTACCTCCGCAAGCCAAATCAAGAAGATTTGAATCGGTTCCTTCGCAAAGTTGAAGACCGTGGGTTTCCGAGCATGATAGGGTCATTAGATTGCATGCATTGGGATTGGAAGAACTGTCCCACCAAATGGAAATGAGGCTTTAGCGGAAGGTCGAGAAAGCCAACTATTGTGTTAGAGGTGGTTGCCTCATATGACATATGGATTTGGCATGCTTTCTTTGGAGTCCCTAGATCCCAAAATGACATTACAGTTCTTGGGCGTTCACCTCTCTTCAATAACTTGACGGAAGGTAAAGCACCTCAACTTCACTACTACATCAATAGCCGTCAATACAATATGGGGTATTACTTGGCAGATGACATCTACCCAAAGTGGGTGACACTTGTCAAGCAATTCCAAACCCTAGGAATGACGCAGAAAAGTTGTTTACCTTACACCAAGAGGCATACCGGAAAGATGTTGAGAGAGCTTTCGGTATTCTACAAGCACGGTGGAAGATTATTAGCGAACCGGCAAGAGGGTGGAGTCGAGAAAATTTGGACTCCATCATGATGTCTTGCATCATATTACACAATATGATAGTGGAGGATGAGCGAGATGGGTATATTGATGGAGAGTCCGATGACGACCAAGAAGATCCAAATAAGTCAAGAAGGGCTCGTGCAAAAATATATGATGGGCCTAATTTGTTTTTGAATCCAAGAACTGGTAGTATCTCTATAAATGAGTATATGAGGCGTTATAGAATGATACGTTCTCGTGCCACAAACAAGTACCTACAACATGATCTTGTTGCACATCTTTGGGCCAAAAGAAGCATGGAGTAGGCGTTTAAGTTTTATGTTGTTAAATGTTTTTCAAAATGTTGTTTAAGTTTCATGTTGTTAAATGTTTTTTTTTATGTTGTATAATTTGTATGTTGGTTAATGTTATTTAATATTATTTCATATTGTTTAATGTTGTTTCATGTTACTTAATTTAATTTAATGTTGTATAATGGCTTAGGAAGTTATAGGAAAAAAAATATAATTTAAAAAAAATATGAAACAAATTTTGTGAAATAGAAGTTATAGGATAAAAATAGAATTTAAAATAAAATAAAGCAATTTTGTGAAATAGAAGTTATAGGAAAAAATGGAATTTAAAAAAAAAATGAAACAAATTTTGTAAAATAAAAGTTATAGGAAAAAAATAGAATTTAAAAAAAAATATTAAAACTATAAAAAAAAATTTGTAAATAAAAAATAATAATAAAACTATAAAAAAAATTTCAAATGCAATGGCTAGCTGACGTCAACTAGCCGTTGCATTTGAATTTTTTTCTTAAGCATTCCTGTCGATTATAACCGATAGGAAAACTGAATTTTCTGGCCAGCCCCGGGCAGGCAACCAGCCCTCCAACCCTCCAACCCTCTAGCCCTCTCCGATTCCGTGGGGCCCTCTCAGATTCCACAGCCCTCTGGCCTAGCCCTTGGTTAAAGACGGTTTTCGGGCTATTTTCGGCCCTCTGGTCCTCTGGATCCTTTGGTTGGAGATGACCTTAGTTCGTGTTCTCCGATGCCTTATGGTCAATCCTATTTTTTAAAAAACCTTTTACATCTAATATAGACCTTAACATTGCTAATTATCAATCATCTACAAAACACATGGACACATGTCAAACAACTTGACAATTACCGTTATAAGTATTAAATACCGTTGAAAATTAAAAAGAAATTTGTCATAATTTTTTTTAACAACTTGAAAATTAAAAAGAAATTTGTCATAATTTTTTTTTTAAACTATTAAATACCGTTATAAGTACATTTAACATGTATTTTTATATTAACGGTAATATTATTTATGAATATATGCGATGTCTCCCAATTATTTGACGGTCAATATATTACAAGAATCGTGCATGGTTGTAGGCTAATTAATATTCTTGTATACATATACATTTATATATATATATATATATATACGTACACATCAGTCTGCTAATAAGCTAATTTGATAAATATTTGGATTTTTATTTAGAAACATATGTTCATCGATCCAAGCCATTTAATCGATTTCTAATTTTGGGGTCAAATATTTATTGAAAACTCGAGGCCAATTAATATATATATATATATATATATATATATATATAGGTATGCATCATATGATAGTAACATGTTTCTAAATGCTCAAGGTAATCATTATCTTGAATTGGTCAAGCCTCCAAAAGACTCCAAAACAAAATTGTCAAACACTCTAATGCTTTAACACATTCAGTCATATATATTAAACATTAACCCGTTCTATCAATTATATTTTTCTCTCAAGTGAGGCATAAATATATATATATATATATATATATATATTTATACACATATATACAGATTGCTTAAGGGGAGGAATCCCTATTTTTTCAAAAAAAATGAGGACACGCTCCCCACCGTTAGATTGGTTTTAATGAAATTATGTGGTTGAGATTAAAACACTAGGCTACACGATCTTAATCACACAATTTCATTAAAGTTAAATCCAACGGTGAGGCGCGTGTCCCCATTTTTTTTTTGAAAAATGAGGATCCCTCCCCTTAACCAATCTGTGCGTGTGTGTGTGTGTGTATATATATATATGTATATATATGGCCCTTTATAACCAAATATATCTCGAGATACTAAACCTAGTTAGAAACTTTTTATTTTTTATTTTTTTTAGTTTTACGTATGTTAAAATAAACAGTTAAATGAGTACCCGTTTATAACTGCGGGTAATACCTATAACTGTCCATTTAAATTTCACGGGTAAACAGTTATACCCATAACCGCTTATTTATCTAAACGTGTTTGGGCCCAAAATAATATTATTGGGCCGAGCGTAGGTTTATGTTCGGCCCAAAGTTTTTTAAATGTACTATGGGCTATCTGGTGGTCCTAAGCTGCTCAGTTGGGGCGGTCGAGTCTTATTGTAAGAATGAGTGATTTGGATAAGAGCTGATGGGTCGAAGTCTTAGTGCGATAAGGGGTTCTAATGCAATGAGGATTCTTGGCCGGAAATGAATACGGCCTAAAAAGGGGGTGAGTTCAAAGTCCTAATATAAGTAGGATTGGTCGAGATAAGGTTGGATTAGAATAAGACGTCCTAATTCGAATATGGTTTTAACTTGATTGTAAGGAGGGTTTGTTGCTATAAATAGAGAGCATAGTGCATCATTCAAGCCCTCTCCAATTCAACACACAACTGCCCTACGCAAATCTCTCAAACATCTTGAGATTTTTTATTTTCTTTTTCTGCCAACACATCTTCAGTTTGGATAAACAGCACTGTGAAGGCAACCGGCGAACACCTTTAGTTTGGATAAACAACACTGTTGCCGTAGAATTAGCCGATCGAGGAACACCTTTAGTTTGGATAAACAACACTGCGTTGAGGCCGACTGGTTACCTATCCAAGTCTCGGTTGAGAAGGGTTTTTGAATCTTTATCGGTGGAGGTCATCTTATTAGCCTTTTCAGCGAAATAAGGTGTTACAAGTTACTACATTAGGCACATTTGAACGTCGAGTGATCTTATGATTGGATACTCACAAGTGAGTTTTAGAGTTCGGCATTTTGACGGTCGAACCACATTTACCATCAAGACATACATCTTTTTTGAGTACCTGTGTCCGTATAATTTGGAGCTGATTTGACGTGCTTATACTCTTATGAATATAATTATCGTGATCGAACCCGACGCCGACGATTCGTGAACTTCGTAGAACTAGCAACCTTGTCTTCAGGCTCGAGAACCCAAAGGCCGAGACGTGTTCCTTCTTCAGTCGCAGTTGAAAGATTAAGAAGTCAGCAGTGTGCTCAACGCAACATCAACAAATTTTACTCCTCTGCCGAGCTCGGCAGACAAGTTGGCATGTCTCGCATCAACCGAAGGACGTAGTTAGCTCATTAGTTACTCGGTCTGCGCGCCACGTAGGCTTTGTAGTTTTTAGGGTTAACAAAACGGTTATCCATAACCGTAACTGTCAAATTTAAATGAACGGATAACCTGTGATTACCCATAGCCAATGAATATTTGCCCATCCCTAGGAGGGAGACATGAAATGAGAGGCAGGAGACCCATAGATTTTTCAATGTGTCCATAACATGGACACATATGTTATATATTATTATATAAATGAATAAACATTTAAAAAGGGAAATGGATGCTCTCCACATCCCTTCCTCTTAATCCACCAAGTTCAGGGATCTAACGGGTAAAATTATTGTAACTTTAAAATGGATTCCTGTTTATACTCGTTGAATCAAATTTCAATAATTCGGATCCCCTAACTTGATTGATGGATTAGGAGGAAAAAATCCGGAAAGTATTCTTTCCTTAAAAAGCAAATTTCACTTTTATAATGAAATAGGACCTATCGCTGTCCGGCGCGCCTCGGCCGTCTGCATTAGTTAGTAAAATGATTGGTTCTGGACTCAATTCATTTTTGCTTCCTTCTTTGTCCATCTATTTTGCTACGTTGTCAGCCCCTCTATGTATCTTCCTCTCCTGTATACAACATTCGTTCTGTTACTTCTCATCGGTGCCACCAGCCGCCATTTTGGAGCTCAATTTGAAGCATTTCAAGTGATTCCTAGGAGGTTGATGATTCAGTAACCATATGAACCTTGCTTCTTTCTTTCTTCTGCTCATTTATTTTTCGGTTGAGACGTAATTCAGTTAGCATTTTGTGGGATTCGTGCTGTTTTGGTTATGAATCGGCCTTGAATTTCGTACCTTTTTTAAGCCTCAAGGGCTGTTCGTACCTGCTTTATATATTAATTATCTGATAACGGATCTGGTGAATGTTGGAGGGTTTTTTTTTTTCTTTTCTTTTTGCATAAAATTTTTCACTTGTGTTAAATATAACTGATTAATGATCTATGCTTTAAATTATGGAGGATGTTAGCAGAATTTAAAGGTTTTATTTGGCAATTTGGCATTAAAGTGAAGAAAAATTCTCAGTCCATGAGCATGAGTAGTGTTATTGTTATAGAATGTTGTAAGGTAATATATTGGTTTCTATAAATGGATTTGGGGTTCTAATTTAGACCAACCATCTAACTAGGTAGAAATTTGTACCGGATGTCAACCATGGAGAACCCGGAAAACATTGTGTGGCATAAGTGCTCGGTGGAGAAACTTGATAGGCAACAATTACTTAAGCAGAAAGGCTGTGTCATATGGATTACTGGTTTAAGTGGTTCAGGTTTGTTTCTATTCTCTTTTGCTATACGAAATGCTAATTGGCGTCGCAGAAGCAATCTTTGTTATCTGCACATGCCCACAATGTTTCAGCTCTTTTCTTATGTAGGTATTTTTATGCAAAATTTGTTTGTTGTTTTTATTTTTTTCACAGTTGTGAAGTTTGTAAGATTTGGCTGTTTTCTGTTGTGCATATTTTAATATGGGAATTTGTGGTTTGTAGTTAAACTTGGGTAGAAGTAATCATGCTGATACGGCATAACCCTTCTGGCATTATGCATCTCAATAACCAGAAGGCAAGGTGATGAGACCTAAATGAAAGGTGTTGCCATCATTTGACCTTACCTTTCCCTTTCAAAGAAATATGTCCAAGGAGGATAAAGAAAAAGAAATTGACTAGTATGAGTGCATTACTTATCTCGCTGTCTCTCATACACAAACACGCGCAATGAAATGGAAAGAGATCTGTTATTAGCTAACAATCTCTGTCTGCATGTTTTCATTTAGTACCCATCTCTGCTGCTTCTTAGTTGTAATATTGCTTATTATACCTTTGTTTTTTAACATTGGTAATATGCAGCACATAGGAGTACCATTTTAATTTTAGCTAATAGTTATAGCCACATCGGAGTGTTTACTATAAAGGAAGAACTAGGAGAGAAGAAATTTAACACATGAACTCTCTCCCCAGTTGGAAGAACTTTAAGATACAGACATTTTGAGATTGCTTGGTACAACTTTATTTACTGCTGTAATTCATTCTGTTCAATTTGTGACTGCTTAGTTTACACAATCTCATAACCAACATTATCATATCTTGGTCTTTGAATTTAGGAAAAAGCACTGTGGCATGTGCTTTGAGTCAAGGCTTGCACATGAGAGGAAGGCTCACCTACATACTTGATGGTGACAACGTTCGTCATGGTCTAAATCGTGATCTTAGTTTCGAAGCAGAAGATCGTGCAGAAAACATACGAAGAATTGGTGCGTATTTTTGTAGTTAAATTATTGGCCCCTTCGTTTTCTTATATCCTTTTACTGATTTAATTCTGAAAAAACAAAAAAAAGCCGAGGTAGCTAAGCTCTTTGCGGATGCTGGCATCATTTGTATTGCTAGCTTAATATCTCCCTACAGAAAGGACCGAGATGCCTGCCGTGCGCTGTTTCCTGAAGGAGATTTTATTGAGGTATGTGGTGTCTTTAACATGAGGAATGAATTCAATCCAAAAATATAACTTATTGAATTTGGTTTGCTATTACCACCAAATGAAACAACAGACAAGAGGCTCTATCTTGCCAGTGATGACAGCTGACAAGACTCACAATTCTCAGGTGTACATGGATGTGCCGCTGCATGTGTGTGAGAATAGGGACCCAAAGGGACTCTACAAGCTTGCACGAGCTGGAAAAATCAAGGGTATTTTCTAGGAGTTTGTATTTAAAGCCAATCCAGTGCCAAATTATCATTTGGCATTATTTATTCCACCACCCCAGCGAAATCAGTCTTACCAATAGTAAGCGGTGAATAATTTCTTTGGCATTCTGCAGGCTTTACAGGGGTTGATGATCCATATGAGCCGCCATTAAAGTGTGAGGTACATAAAATCATGCTTCTGTGCAGGGTAGCATTCCTTTGCATTTTTCTGAATGAAGTAATTACTCATCAGACAAAAGAATAAAATGGATTAAAAAGAAAGATTATGCTAGTGTGATTGACTTTGGTGGTGTCGAGATATGCGTATGCAGTTCTAAAGATATGCGTATGCAGTTCCAAAGATCTGCTGTGCAGTCTGAAATGAAATTATATCATGCAAGGAATTTTATGTTTTGAGCCATCTTGTGGAATACCAATTTTCTATGTAGATTCAGAATAGTTGAACGATCCAAATGAAATGGGTTGAGGGGTAGAAGTGTGACTGGCACCATCTCACTGAACTTTTATTAGAATTTATACTGGACCATGAAACAATGAAATCAAGCTTGTAATTTTCCCTATGTCATTCATGTCCTGTATTTCCTTGTTTTAAGTTTACTGTTTTCTTATTATTCTTTCATCGTTCGGATGTTAATCTCTAACACTGGAGTCCAACTTATTGATTTGCAGATAGTATTGCAGCAGAAGGGTACGGATTCTGTCACCCCAGGCGAGATGGCTGAAACCATGATATCATATTTGGAGGAGAAAGGGTATCTGCAGGCGTGATAGAAGAAAAGGTCTTTCGAGTTTGTTGGTTGGTACCAGTTGCGGCCTTTCCTGCAACGTAACATCCTACAAAGAACCTAGTTTTACCAGTGAAGAAGTAAAACGAGAAGTTATTTTCTCGTTCCCTGCAGTTAGGAAATTGTTCGTTTCCTGCATAATCCAGTTCCTTCCATGGGGTAAATTAATCAATCGATTAATCGATTTATTTTGTTTGAAAGCTGCCTTGCGCAATGTGGCTTTCGAACAGTCAACTAGTAATAAAGTAGTGGAAGGGAACTTAGGGGATGAATTTCATGTTTACAGTGTCATTGTGTAATGAAATTGGACGTCTGTAAAATATATGTTTCAGCTGAATATGTAGTTGGTTTTAAGATTTGTTAGATAACTATTGCCGGTGTGATCTTTCCACTTCCAAAGAAAGAACGCCGAACTGGTACCCGAGAAGAGGAAGAGAGTCAGAGAACATTGAACTTGAGGGATACAACTAGAGACTAGGGGGGATAGAGAAGGGAGGTGCAATGGCTACCAAGGAGTCTCCCCAATCAAATCGGCTGCCTACGATCCAATCTCGGCGATTAACATCCATCCAGAGACAGAAAATGCTTCCTTCTCAAACTCAATCGACAGAATGATCTGCCCGCTCAACTGCCCTGCACTATTAACTTGATGCTTGATCTCAGCCATGTGGTTAAATTAATGAAACATAACAATTTACTGGTAAGTAAAACTGATTGCGGTAAGTAAGACAAACAGATAAAAAGGGTAAAAAGGAAATCCCGCTTTGAGCTCAAACTCGTCAAATCGATCTAAAGAATTACCAGGTAACAAACGTCATGTCTATTTGCCGGTGCTACATTTGTTTGTCTAGGACGTCTATGTGGCAATCCAAAGTGAGTGCAACGATTAAGGCATTTCAATGATTGGATTTCAACTTCATTTCTTTGGCAATACAAGGTAGCCATTTCTCGCCCCTAATTTTCTTCAGTTGTGCAACTCTTTCCTCTTCTCTTTTTGCTGCTGCTTTTGCTGCTGCATCTTTCGCTTCTTGCCTAGACAATGATGTCTGGCATTTATCTCTTGCGGCAGCCAATATATCCTTCCCATCAACAGCAACAGATTGGAGTTGTCGTTTAAACTGCCAACAAGACAATACAATAAACGGATAAGTAGCTATTGTGTAAACAATATATCTCCTAATGCAATTGAGAACCCAGGATAAAAATCAAGACCTTCTTCGATTTCTCATTAATTACTTTTCCAGGTAGAATTCTTGGTCTCCTTCTCAGCGGCTGTGGATCTGGCAGCATGCACATAACTTTCAGTTCAAGCTCACAGTTTAGCAATAGGCATGAAATACATCAGTGGGTTGGCACCAGAGAACGGCCAACTCGCCAATGCAAAAATTATGAAGGGCATGTCGAAATTCACTAGTCATCTCATGGTGGAAGAACTTGACAGAAAATTAGTAGTAACTACCACTACGCCAATTGCATTGAAGTCACAGCCTACATGTGCCTAAACCCTAAACCATAAGGCCTCATGGTGTCTACGATTGTCTTAGATTGGATAACTCGCTAGAATCAATGAATGTTGAATGAAAAATGGATGCCCCACTCGCATATTTTGTCCAAGCAAAGGTAGAAGATCGCGAGGGAGTTTCCCTTCGTGACTAATCCATCTTCTACCCTCAACTGCGAGTTGGTATCCAATTCTTCATCAGCACCGAATCTCAGAAGTTATCCAATTCAAACCAATCCTACACACCAAACCGGGCCTAAATCCGTTGTTTACAAACAAAAAGTTTGATGGGAATCACTCACCTACATGATCGAACACAATCCCAGGGGGAGCATTTTTGAACAAGCGAATACAACCTTCCTCTTCATTATCCCCCATAGGCTCATCATCTGGTAAATGAATCAGGGGATCGCTAACAATCTCCAAATTCTTTCCTATTATTTCATCCAAAATCTTTTGTGCCTGCCAACAAAGCTTCTTACCTTCAGTTTCTATACAATTAAATACTCATCTTTTATCCCACAAAATGCTTATTTCACAATCAAATTAGTAAATAAAAATCAAAATAAACCATTAAAATTACACCATTTTAAAGGATACAGATTGAAAAAAGTGAAAATAAAATATGGGGATTGATTGATTGAGCTGGGTGACCTTGATTTGGTAGTGCTTGGGAAGCTGCTGCTGGGTTTTACTCTGCTTGTTATCTCCACCGCCGCCTCCATTATTTTCGGTAGCAGAAACGCCGTTGACGAGGGAAGACATAAAAGAGGACGCCCCCGCAGCGGCTGAGCTGATGGCTGCTTTCCACTCCAAGTCTCCATCTTCCTCGCTACTGCTGCCGCTGTTGCACTCCCCCATTTCTCTGTTGAAACCAGTTTCGGGTTTTAGAGTACAGTCGAGTCTCGACCTTATAAGCTTTAGGCCCATTTTTTGTTACTGGACTGAACCCATTTGTGGGCTTAGACTACCATAGGGTCATTTTGTATTTGTTTGGATGAATTGATTATTATTATTATTTTTTAACAAATTATATTATATACTCCAAAGAGGAAGAGAGTGGGCTAATTAGCCTCACAACTTAAAAGAGTTATTGTCATTCTACCGTACCGTACTAATTTCATGTTAATCGATAATTATACCGAACGGAAGATATTTAGTTTGATATTGTATTCAAAATTACTATTACCATACTATACCGGAAATATATATAGAGCCTTTAAACAAAAGGATTTCCATTCTGAGAAAAAAATTGAAGATTAGTTATGGGGTTCACACCACATCAAATCTTGATGATTAACCCATTTATTTTTCAAGTAGTACCTCATAGATCATTTTTACAAAATATTAGCCAACTCGAAAATTTAAGGCATCTAATTGACTTCAAATAATTAGCAAACAATATGTTTAAATCAAAATTGAAATTTCATCTTGACAATTAAATGGTCACATGGTTTCAGATTAATACATCGATATTTTTACACTAACGAGAATGAGAATTCGGCTAAACCACACTATGTGGAACCTAATTTCGTATCGAATTCATCATCCAAGAGATTCAAACCTAAGATTTTTAATTTACAAGTGAAAATGAATACCACCAGATTATAGTACCAAGGGACGAAAATTGAAGGTTGAGGGGGGCAAAAATGGGAGTATGCCTCAAAGTTTAGTGGGCAATCCTAAAATTCAACCCTAAGTAAACACGAGAATTGGAACAAAAAAATATACAGCACGAGACATCCGGCGCCGAAATGATTTTCTTCTCCGTCTGAAAACAGGCGTAGACTGCGTTCCACCGCCTCAGTTGCAGGAATCAAAACGAAACCCTAGCTTACTGCAGATTCCGATCGATTGCAATTATCCAGAGAAAACCCAATTGCAATTGGGGAAGAAGAGCAGCCAAACCCTAAGTAAACAATCAGTAAAGTCAGTGTCCGTACAGGTAACAAACAATGGGAAAGAAGCAGCACAGCAAAGATCGAATGTTCATCACCAAAACGGAGTGGGCCACCGAATGGGGCGGCGCCAAAGCCCAGCCCACCTCCACTCCTTTCAAACGCCTCCCCTTCTATTGTTGCGCGTACCGTCCTCCCTCTCTCTCTCTCTCTCTCTCTCTCTCTCTCTCTCTCTATATATATATATATATATATAATTGCACATTCTTTGTTTTTGGCTAATTTCAAGTTTTGGTTGTTAAATTTGGTGCCCTTCTTCAATTTTTGTTGCAGGCTTACGTTTACGCCATTTGAAGACCCAGTGTGCACCGCAGACGGCAGCGTTTTTGATATACTGTGAGTTTTTCGTATTATGCTATTCTGAGGCACATTTAATTTCGTGGGTTTTACATTAGCTTCACTGTTTTTTGTTGTGTGGAGATTTGTGTGACATGAATTTTGTTTTTGGGTTTTGGAAAATGGGTGCAGGAATATAATTCCGTATATCAGAAAGTATGGGAAGCATCCTGTTACCGGAGTCCCGCTGAAGCAGGAGAATCTCATACCGCTAACGTTCCACAAGAATTCTGATGGTTTGTGCTTCTTAGCTTTGCTTTTGCATACATTTTGACAAATCATGCATTCAATGGATAGAGTAGATAGTGGTTCATATGCTATAGAAGAACATGTAGGATAGTACCTCCTTGAGTTAGTTGAAGTTGGAATATAAGCAAAACTGGAATTATGGCACTGGATTAATGTTTATTTTTTCCAGTCTTGTGCTGACAGAAATGATTTTAGAATTTTTAAAGTGGAATATTCAGGACAGGAAAGACTGTTAGAGTGCATGACTTAAATGAGATCTCAAACCTGAGTTGGAATATGTGTATACATGCATATGTACGTATCTGCATGAATTTAGTGGTTTATCGATATTAACCATAGAAAATGAAAAATGAGAAATTGTTTCCATGACCATGAGGTGTGGTGGTAATTGCTTTCCCAGTTTTAGAACCAATATAACCATGTAAGTTTTGCATAAGGGAACACAGCAAGAAGTCGTAAGCCATAAAGTTATCGCATGTCCAGTTAGAACTTTGAGGTTGAAAGTGTTACTGGTATCCCTTTGGTCAAACCAATTTCCTCTGTTTTGGTGAATCAAATGAACATTTGGAGGCCTACTTTGTTGTTTACAGAAACCTTATTGAAACTAGTTTTTAAGCACAATTTTTTTTTTTTTTTTTGGGGAAACCCATCAGACGGAATGGTATGATGGATATTTTTGACTACTAGTTGGTTTTGTTGTCAACCCTTTTGGGTGATATGATCGGCACAATTTTTCATAGTTTCTTCCTCTGTATAGTCATGGGAGTATGTCAGCCAGACGGTTTTTGTTTGCTTCACCATTTTTATACCTCTGATTTGGCAGTTCATAATCTGTTGTTTAGGTATCTTCTCTTAGATGATTGAATTTTTTTTTTTTCACTTGTTGTGTAGGAGAGTTTCAGTGCCCTGTTTTGAACAAAGTTTTCACTGAATTTACACACATAGTTGCTGTGAAGACAACAGGAAATGTCTTCTCCTATGAGGTTTGTTTTCTTGCTATGATATAGTGTCAGTAGTATAAGTTTTCTTCCGACAGTATAAGACATATAATTGTTCTGTATACATTTTTATCTCACTTTTGCTTTCGCTTTTTAGGCAGTTAAAGAACTAAACATCAAGACCAAGAATTGGAAGGAGCTCCTCACAGATGAACCATTTTCCAAGGAAGACCTGATAACCATTCAGGTACTTGAGAATTTTGAGATAAAATTTTTTGTATCGATACATTGTAAGTTCTTGTTTCTTGTTTGAATATCACATTGGTTTTTATGGATGCCCTTTGCAGAATCCCAATGCACTTGACAGCAAGGTTCTAGTGGAGTTTGATCATGTTAAAAATAGTCTGAAAATTGATGATGAAGGTGAGCTAGTGGGTCAACTATAGTGTTATGTTTCTGTTAATAAATTTTATTTATTTTCTTCTTTTTATTTCATCTCTTTTTCAGATTTTAAGAGAATGAGTGCAGACCCCACCTTTAACATTAATGTAAATGGAGATATCAAGCAGATGCTCAAGGAGCTTGGAACTGAAAAAGGAAGGCTAGCTGCACTGCATGGAGGAGGTGGCAGCAAGGCACAAAATGAACGGGCTGCTGCACTTGAAGCCATTTTAGCTGCAAGATCGCGTATTAAAGAGGATCCGAAATCAAATTCGAATGGGGAGGTGAAAGCTCAGGCATATAGTATTGTGGATGCTGCTTCTGCTTCTGTGCATGGAAGAAGTGCTGCTGCCGCCAGAGCCACATCAAGTGACAAAACTGCTGCTCGAATTGCTATGCACAAGGCTGGTGAGAGGGCACCAGTGAATGCAAAGATGGTTAGTGAATTTTATTTATAATCTCTCCTACCCAATAGTAAATGCTAGGAGCTACAGTATGATTATTAAACTTAATTGTGTTTAATGTTTAAAAGAGTAGCACTCTTCCAGCAACAATTATTTTTCCTTGCTGCCTTGTTTAACACAAGTATTAATTTCAGGTAAAGAGCAGATTCACCACGGGTGCTGCTTCCAGATCTTTCACTTCTACCGCCTTTACTCCTGTTACTGAAAATGAATTTGAATATGTTAAAGTTGAGAAGAATCCAAAAAAGAAAGGATATGTACAACTACACACAACACATGGTGATTTGAACATTGAGCTACACTGTGATATTGCCCCCAGAGCTTGCGAGAACTTCATCACTCTTTGTGAACGTGGCTATTATAATGGAGTAGGTTTTCATAGAAGCATTAGGTATGGTGATATGCTCTAGTTTAAATTCCTTGTTCAAGTTAAATTCTTGTTGTGAATGAAAATAGAAATGGTTAAGGATTTACGATTCACATTTTTGTGTAGGAATTTTATGATTCAAGGTGGTGATCCTACTGGTACTGGGACAGGAGGGGAATCTATATGGGGAAAGCCTTTTAATGATGAAGTGAACTCCAAGTTACTTCACTCTGGAAGGGGTGTTGTTAGTATGGCTAACAGTGGGCCACACACTAATGGCTCCCAATTTTTCATCCTTTACAAATCTGCAAACCATTTGAACTACAAGCATACGGTTTTTGGTGGAGTTGTCGGTGGCTTGACCACATTGGCAATAATGGAAAAGGTTCCTGTTGATGATAATGACCAACCTTGGTAAGTTTATTGTTTTTTCTTTTATCAAAACTAAAGTCCTGCATTCATGTTTTATAATTTTTTACCTTTTCAAAGAAGTTTTCATGTCTGTTGATTGTAAGCATTTTATCAGGTGTGCATCATCCTAATAAGAATCATCCATCTACATTATGTGTTTACTGTTTTAAATTGTCACTCGTTCTAGATCGTGCTGGCTAGAGTTTATTGAAAGCCCTAACGTAATATTATTGGTTCTTTTTACCATTTTATAGCTACTATAGTCCAAACCTAGTTCCTGCTAGTTGCAGCAGGAGTTTATGTATATCTACGTACATGCACATGTTAATGCACACCGCTGTATGAATATCCATAGCATTTCATCTTATCAGTAGTAGTAGCTGAAATTGTTCCATGAGTTTCAATGTTCGACACTGCTACATATAGCCTACTGAATCTTATGATTTTTTAAACAAGGTCAAGCTCCTGTGTACCCAGGCCTCACTTTCTTTTTTCTGCCGTGTCTTGTGCAGGAGGAAATTAAGATAACAAGTGTCACAATTTTTGTTAATCCTTACACAGAGCCTGATGAAGAAGAAGAAGACAAGGCCAAAGCTGAAGAGAAAGCTCAGGATGAAGATAATGTTTGTTACTAGACCCTTAAATTTGTGCTGGTGCTTTTTTCAACTTTATTCCGTTTGTTACGATAGTAAAGCAACTCATTTTGTGTTAACTCTCAGGACAAGGTTGGGTCATGGTTTAGCAATCCTGGTACGGGAGTGGAATCTGGCCCTGGCGGTGGTGGTGGTGTTGGGAAGTATTTGAAAGCAAGGAGTGCTCTGTCTGAACCGGCTGCTGTTGACGCTGGTCTGACAGAGCTTCCTTCAACAAAGAAAAGAAAATCAAGAGTTTCCGCGTCCAATTTTAATGATTTTTCTTCATGGTAGTTGGTAAATATCCCAAATGTTGTATTGTACCGTATGTAGATATTGTTTTGGAAGAGTGAGTAGGCAGAGCATTGTAACCTATTTTTTTGAAGGTATAGAAATAGCAGATCGAACTTCCGAGGGATAAACATTGCTTATGATTCTATTTGAAATTAACAGTTACATATGATTGACATGAACCTCCGACTGAGACATGCATGGATGGAGTGTGAACCATTATAGCTTTTCAATGGAAATAATAATTGAAGTGGGTTTATATTGGTTTGAGGGTGAACCATTATAGCTTTTCAATAATATTTGTTATAATGGTGTGGTGGATAGCTTTCAAATGGAAGGTGGTGACCGTTTCCATAAACCAATTGGAATCCACGGCTGGAGCCTATTATTGTTGTGATAAATATTCACAAAGTTGTCACTATTGAAGTAAATGAAATGATGCATCTTCTAAGTCGAGATTCATTACTTGCCTCTTCAAAATAAGTCACATATTTTGAGAAATGGCTCTTCAATATCTGTAAATAGGGTAATCCGGCATTCACATATTCATACATATAGTGCACTAGATATTAGAGTGTCTGATTGAGTCCATATGAGAGTTTTCAATACAATCGTGGTTCACTGGAGCCTTTTCATTTGGAATGTTGCTGTTATAAGGACATGGTCGTTATATCCTGATAGACAAATCCCAATCAACCATGAGCGCAGTAGTGGAGCGTAAAATTATCTTAAGGATCCTATATCTAACATTTGCCTGAGACTGATTTTTCACATTTTTCTAATCCATTTCCATGTGCATTTAGCATTAGTTATAATTGTTCGTATGCATTAATTTTATGTTTAACTGCATGATGATTTATTCATTTCTCATATGACTAAAATTATAGCAATTAGACTATTTTTATAACAATTCGATGACTAAAAAATAAAGAGAGATGCTAAAAGGAGTGTGAAAATCATCCCACAAGCTAATTTAGGACACTCTAGTCCAGCTTAAACTAATATTATCGTGTGCTCAAGCACATGCTCACTGCATGCTTTATCTAGTGATGACAGGGGCGTACGTAGAACATATCTCTGAATCATTACATGGTGTTTCAAAACAATCTCTCTTTTTCACAACATATCTCAGAAATTTGATGACAAAGTTGCAGAGAATGAAATTTAAGAAGTTGAACTCTTTCAGTATCGTTCAACGGTTTCTGCAATTTCATATCGTATTTCTGACATCTACTTGATTTGCAAATTGTAGTTTCCTCTAATTGATTTGCAAATTATGTTTTCATTTACTGGAGAGCTTCATTAATCATTATAGTACCATAGGAGATGCAATTTATATGTACTCTCAACAGTTAATAAACGTGTACATGGTACAGTTTATGATGTGGTCTACAGAACTTTATATATGTCATTCTTTTTTGGTTACAAAGGAGGCCAAAAGGTCGAGCAAGACGCTAAACAAAGATAAAAATATCAACATAAAGAATTACAAGGAATAGGAATAGAAATTATTTTGATTAGAGTAATGCTACACTTATCACATTTGTACCATCTCTATAATAAAGGTAAGACCTACCAACATATGTCGGTCTCATTTCTATTAAAAAAGTGATACGAAAGTGGTATGGAAAATGTGATAAGAGTAGCATTTTTGTTTGATTATTGAGTCCCATGCATTTACTAAATTATGAGTATGGGAATCAAAATACTGGGGAACTTCTTCAAGTGTTTGCTTAGCTTACATGTAAGGAATCAGAAGGGTACAAGTTTCACATTAAAATCCGTAATCAAATATCTAAAAGTAGGAATCCAATCAGCTAAAGGAAACTGATTGATCTGATTCTCTTTTCTTAGTTTCCTTCTTTTGAAGTTCTTTAATTCCTTCATTTTTTTTTTCTATTTATGTTGAGTAAACATGGCCAAACTACTCCAGTATGAACAACTCCAAAACATCGTTTAGTAGTACGCAAGTGGATAGAGGAGGATCTTCAAAACAAAGCATTGCCCAAGTCCATGAAGATACTACTATATATCTTCTTTGGAAGCCGCAATATTTAATCATGTAATTAAACCTCTCATGTAAAAATATCAATTTACTATAAAAAAAAAAACAAAAAAAAAACATCACTCCACAACAATAATCGGACTTTTTATTTTATTTTATGGACTAAAGACTCAATTTAGTTAACAACTCTCAGTTAACCAATTAACCCCCCGCAAGTAGGGCCTCCTAACATCATCAACACAGAAAGGAGAGTTCTAATTCAAGGAATAATTAAGAAAAAAGACATGGTCATGACTACAACTTTTGTAACCACGGGCCTATAATTTTCAGTTTCCATAACAAATTAAGAAGATAAACTCTTGATAAACATGATTAGATGATAAGTATGTGGGTACTCCCAATTAATTATTTCTTCAAACCATATCCCTACGTTCCCTTTAAACTAATAGAAAAGATAATAGTTTTCTAACATATAACTAAACCCACTACACTAATAACTTGTTGAGTTGTCATCGCCATCCTAATCCAAAACAAATTTTGTATTGTTGAGGCAGTGACATTTCATCCATATTATTCATGTGATATTAATTAGGGATAACTAGCTATAGAGCCAATTTTGTGAGCCACTAGCAGAATTAGTCCACTTCGTTGAATTAGGTCTAATAATTAAGATTCCATGTATGTTTATTTGTGGTTTGTACCATATTTACCCATTAGGCTTATGAATTGTTATATATACACAAAATTTCTTAATTATGAGATTATTTGTCGTTTAACTAAGCCCTTAATTGTAGGATTAGTTATAGCCATATAATCACCTCAACCTCTAGTCCGTTTCATCCCACCTTTTTTCCTTCTTCTAAACAATTCCCTCTATCAATCCTCCTCTTTTTTGTCTCTTCCTTTCATGGGTGATATTTTTGTGTTCTTCCCTCCAAATTCATTCCTTTAATGGAGGTATATTATATCATATTTATATTTTTATGTTCCGCCATGTAGGTTCCTAGCATTTTTCTTCCAATACAATAGGTAGTTTATTTTTGTTTTGCATGTAGATTATATTTACTTTGTAGGTATAAAGCATTTTTTTTCCTATACAATAGGTGGGTAGTTACTAGATTATATCGGTTTTGTTTTCTTCATAAATAGCAGGTAGTTACTAGATAATATTTTAGTTTGAGTATTTAAATATTCAAAATTTAAAAATTGAATAAATGATAAAAAAATTAAAGAATTTAAATATTTTTATCTGAAGGGGCAAAATTGACATCAAAATATGTAATTGGATAACTGGACTCAGTCCCAAAAACTACCTATGTTTTTGGACCTAGATCCAAAAGCCCCATTAATTATTATAATAATAATACTAAAATCAAACAATACGGTATCACAAAACAAATCATCCCTTAATTATAGCTAGCTTTGAAAGCTTGTGATCTTACCGTCTCTCTACTTTATTCTTTTCTTACTAATAGTATATTTTATTCTAAATTTCCAGTATCAAATTTACATCACAAGAAGGATTTATATAGTATTATATATTATATTAGAAGAATACGATAATTTCTTTGAGGTCAAAATGTTAGGCTCAAAATTGGGAGGTCAATACAAGATCCGTACGGTCAATCGTTGGTGGGCTTGGATAATAAATCTAGAATATAGACAGCAAAATATAAGAGCATCTCCAACAGAGGAATGCTAAGTAGGCCAAATATTTAAACTAAATTGTAAACTAAATGATGCGTCGACAATAAGAAATAAGCATGTTAATTAACACTTGAATAAGGATAATGCTAGAGAAACTAAATTTTTAAACCAAATTTGCAAACTAAATGATGTGTCACCAATATGTGACATCCCACATCGCCCAGGGGAGTGATCCTTATATGTATATTCCCATCTCTACCTAGCACGAGACCTTTTGGGAGCTCACTGGCTTCGGGTTCCGTAGGAACTCCGAAGTTAAGCGAGAAGGGGGCTAGAGCAATCCCATGATGGGTGACCCACTGGGAAGTTGCTCGTGAGTTCCCAAAAACAAAACCGTGAGGGCGTAGTCGGAGCCCAAAGCGGACAATATCGTGCTACGGTGGTGGAGCGGGCCCGGGAAGTGATCCGCCGCGGGCCGGGATGTGACAAATAGGTATTAAGCACATTAATCAACATTTAAGAAATAATTCAATGATCAACTACCACATCATTTAGTTTACAAATTTGGTTGAAAAGTTTTGGTCTCTCTAGCATTATCGCTTAAGTTAACCCAATTATAAATAATCATATCATTTGGTTTAAAAATTCAGTCTCTCTAGCGCTAACCCCCAAAAAAACGTCAAATGTAAATTTGAAGGCTTATGAGGCAATGTCAAATTTTTTTTTGCTCCAACCCATATATTTTTTCTTATTCAATTAATATTTATAGGACCCACTCTTAAAAACAAATAAATAAAAACTAATTTTCATGATTTATGATTGATGCATTATTAGGACCCACACAACAAAACATTTAAAAAGATTTTCTCATATGTCAAAATTGGCAGCACACAATAAATATGTCAATCCACATAAGATTGGCATATCGGTTGGAGCTTCTATTGCCTTCAATTTTTATTATGTGGCATTTCACTAGGATTTGGCATCTCTTTTGGGGATGGTCTAAGTGGTT